TACATGCTTTAAGTTAGTACTATACCTGGTGTCTCTAGTGTAATATACTCTATACAAATAAAAATATATGAATAAATTACCTTCATTGTTCACTAACTATACCTTTTCTTTTTCTGAAGATATTCAGCTGTTTATCTTGTTCAAATATTGATCCTATACCATTAGTATAAGTAACATCAGTAATTGAGTAATAGATCAACTCACACACCTTCTTTGTAATCAAGTAAAGTCCTCAGTTCTTGTTTCTCTCCATCAGCTATTTTAATCTCCTCTGCAAGACACTCATTATTCATTACCTATAATCAGTACATAATATTAAACAAGGTCTCATACAGTTACAGTATCTTATACTTTGTATCTGATTCTTTTATCATAGACAGTGTAGTGGCCGATGGTTAGTCTAATTAAACTAAATTCCTTCATCAAGACAGTTAGGTTGTCTTGTGCTTCCAAGAGAAGAGCAGCTAGTAAATGATGTGGGCCATAACAGATGATAATGATGGAGTTCCCACAATGAATGCTTTGTACGACAATCCTCTTATTAAGATTCTTGAATGCTTTCTTAATAAGTCGCTGAATGTCATCAAGTGTGTGTTCCTCAGGCTTCCAGTCAAGAACAAAGTGAACTGTTTCACTAGTGAGAAAACTTTCAGTAAGAAACATTTTGTCAAGCATAAAGGGAAGCGACATTTGCTCACAAAAGCTGTCAACCTTCTCTTCATATCTTTTGACGAGGTCTTTCCCTTCCTTGATGTTATATTTATTGACAATTGACTTTATTATTGATACGTCAATAATAGTGCACCTTCTTTTAACAGCACTCATTATTTCCTGAACAGACGCTGCTTCTTTTATTGATTGACTAAGCTCGGGGTAACTTTCAACAAGGAACAATTTCATGTCATCAACTGATGAAACTTTCTCAACTACCAAAGGAACTATTTCATGTTTTAGGATACCAAACTCTCCTCTTGTTTCATTGAACATACTCTTGTAACCTTCACTGATAATAAACGACTGAACAACTACAATATTGTAATAAAATTGCACTACCAATGCTCATTTTACCTGATGAAACTGATTCAGTAGTATTGTGAGAAACAGCTGGAGCTATGAATTAATAATAAGCACTTGAAGCTATTTATATACATACCTAATGGTACATCAGGAATAAATTTATCTTGAACACCAGCTTCAGGATCAAGGAATGATTCACTATGATCTAAAAAAGAAGCGGCAGACCTCATTGATGAAAGTTACCATTCACTTACCACAATCTTTAATAATATCTTGAGCTAAAGGTTTAGTTTCTTCTAATTCCATTAGTATATTTCCTAGTGACCTCAGCTTGCTGTGATCATCAGATACTGTAATCATTAATTCTCTTAATGTATCACTTAATGAGCCACCACATCTCTCAATCTTCCTTTGTGTATCCTCAGTGATTAATCCTTCTGTATATAACAACTGGATACAACTATCAGTGAGGGATACTTGTGATATTCTATCACTGTAATGCTGTAATATCTGACTAGCAGGATCATCATCTATAAAAATAATAAAATATACTTTAAACTGTATTTATGTATGTTAACTTTACATGTATTACGGATGAGTGTAGCAGCTGGTTTTTGATTCATTCTCTCAAGTGCACTAGCTAATGATTCCCAAGTACAATTAGATAAAGTCAACCACAAGCTCAAGCACTCTCTCAAGCAACGTGATGGATTATTCACATAAGTATCTTCAATATTCTTCACTTGAGGATAAGGTAGCTTTAATTCCAATCCCAGATCAAACCAGTCAGCATCAATGAAGTGACTTTCCTTCAGAGCATCTCTTACTAACTGCAGATGAGTGATGTCTAAAAGATAAATAATAATACATAGGGCTAGCATTTAGTATTATAGTGAAGAAATGAATGACACTATTACTAATTGAATAAAGTAGCCCTCACAGAGTTAGGGGAATATACTTTCTCTCTTTAATATAAAGAGTTTTACCTAAACGAAACACTCTGCTTGTAGCCATACCTGCTGCTGCTAACCGAGCTACGCCCTTTTGCGTGGGTGTAAGTTTATAAGACGTCGCGTCACGGGCGTAGTTGGATTCTGATCACGTGACCTTCAAAACAAGCGCCAAGACACAAAATGGACGAATCAGCAATGGAAGTTGTTCCAATGGACGAGAGCTATAAAGCAGCTCCTAAGAAGTACCCGGTACCAGTTGTATTTGATAAGAATGAGCATGGAGGAACCTCTGACGG